CCGGGTCTTCCCAAACCACGCGCCCGAGTCTTCCCAAACCAAACGGGTGTTCCCAAACCAACCGGGTCTTCCCAAACCAACCGGGTCTTCCCAAACTAACATCCGGGTCTTCCCAAACGAACTGGGTCTTCCCAAACCACACCGGGTCTTCCCAAACCAAAGCCTGCGTCACCCAAGCCCAAGTTTGGTTTGGGAAAACCCGTTTGGTTTGGGAAAGACGCCCCTCCGGGGGGGGGGGCGGAAGCCAGATGGTAGACACAAGGGCAGCGCGCAAGCGGGGGGGGGAGGGGGGGCCGTCTGGAGGGCATCTTGGGCTGTCTGGGGGTCTTCTTGGCCGCCTTGGAAGCGTCGTCGGACCGTCTTGGTGGCCATCTTCGCGGCGTGCACAAGGGGGCAGGGGGAGGGGGGAAGGCTTCTTAGAAGGAGGCTGCTTCCGAGAAGGCGCGGGCCTTACATCTGCAGACAAGGCCCGCGCCTTTTGAGAAGCAGGGTGCTCGTTCGTTCGTTCGTTCCTGAGGCGGGCGTCGGTGCCGACCCGCCTCCAGCAGCAAAACTCAGAGGGAGAAGAGGACGCGGGAGCCGAATGGGACGAGGACGCCCTCGTGGAGCACGCTGAGGGGGAGGACGGCCCGCCAGCGATGCTGGCGGGCATTATCGCCCTCCCCCCGCATCCCCACGCGCGCCCCGGGCCGCCGCCAAGCCTTCCCCCCTCCCCTTTACCCCTTACCCCCCTTTGCGCGTGGCCGACCATCTCTGGGCCATCTGAGCAGACGTTAGCGGAGCAAGAAACAACAAAAGCATCAACTTTTGAAGGTCCGCGCGGATGTCTTGAATCCGAACAAGAAACAACAAAAGCAAGAACTCCCGCGGAGCAAGAAACATCTGGATGTTTTGAAGGTCCCGCGGAGCAAGAAACAACAAAAGCATAAACTTTTTGCGCGGATTTCTTGAATCCGAAACTGGACCCCCCTCCCTGGCGCGCGGAGCGCGCCAGGGGCGGCGCCGGAGGCGCCGCTGGGGGGGCACAGCGCAGATCCAAGAAATCCGCGCGGAGCGCCAAAAGTTTATGTCTATGCTGTTTTCTCTTCTTCGAGTCTCGGAGGCGCATCGTGCCGTCTTCGAGCCGTCTTGGGGCCGTGCGGGGCCGCAGAAAGACCGACGCCAGGATCAAAACTTCCGGGCGGCCAGCGCAAGCGGCCGAGAGAAGGGGACGACGACGCAAGGGTGGAACGTCCGAGGAGGAGGCGGAGGAGGAGGAGGCGGAGGAGGAGGAGGTGGAGGAGGAGGTGGAGGAGGAGGGGGAGAAGTAGGAGGAGGAGGAGGCGGAGGAGGAGAGGGGGAGGTGGAGGAGGCGATGGAGGAGGAGAAGGAAAAGGGGCGGAGGAGGAGGAGGCGGAGAGGAGGAGGAGGAGGAGGAGGAGGAGGAGGGAGGAGAAGAGGAGGAGGAGGAGGAGCAGCAGGAGGAGGAGAAGGAGGATGGAGGAGGAGCAGGAGGAGGAGGAAGAGAAGAAGGGGGAGGACGGAAGCTCAAAAGCGAGGGGGAGGTACGGTCGGCATCAGTGCGCGCGGCTCCTCCTCCTCCTCCTCTCCTCCTCCTCCTCCTCCCTCTCCTCCTCCTCCTCCTCCTCCTCCTCCTCCTCCTCCTTCTCCAGTGGGAGCTGGCGAGGTGGTGGAGCAGGTGAGGTGGTAAGAGGCTGAGCTCTGCGCGAGGGCGGCGTGGACACCGAGGCCATACCGAGAGCCGATTTTTTGCGAGCAGGGCGGAGGTGAAAGGTGGAAGGCGAGGGAGGGGAGGCGCTGTTGGCCTGGTCCGCGCCTGAGTGGGCGGCTGGCGCCGCGGTGACCCTGGCGGTCCCCCCTTCCTCCTCAAGTCTCGCCGCCTGGCTGGGAGTCCAGAGCCAGCAGCCTTCCCACACGCAGCCCGACTGTGCTCCTCCTCCTCCTCCTCCTCCTCCTCCTCCTCCTGCTCCTGCTCCTCCTCCTCCTCCTCCTCCTCCACCTGCTACTCCGCCTTCCCACGCTGCTCCTCCGATGCACTTCTTCTCCCGCGCTCTTCATTATCCTCCTTCTTCTGCTTTCGAGGAAGGGGTAGCGGTATCGGTATGATGCGGGTTCCAGAAACCCTGAATCAAAAAACCTTGCCATCTCTTGGGTAACAGGATTTTGCTCCCGGCGGCTTCCGACGGTCTTCCGCTGGCTTCCGCCGTTGGATGCGGCCTCGTTGTACGTCCGCCGACCTTCCGCAACCTGTCCGCGCCTTCCGCCGAGGAAGAAATGGCAACTCCTTCGATCCTCGAAGGCAAAGCCCTTTTAGGAGTGCCCCATGTGTTTTCCTTCCTGACTCCTGAATCCTGGCATCATCTCCCCTCCCCTCCCAGGCGGCGAGATCATCGAGGCGATTCATCCGCTTCTGGTAAGCCACATTGGATAGCAAGTAATACTGGCCAAGGTGCTCAGTGACCGCCTGCTTGTACGCCATCGCCACGGTGCGAAGGTCGTCCTGCCCGACCATCACAATGACCAATCCCCCCGTGTCCTCCCCCTCGTTCGCCTGCTCCTCACCCTCATTCGTTGCCTCTCCCTTCCCCCCCCCTTCCCTCTGATTTTCCTCCTCCCTTCTCCCCCTCCTCCCTCCCATTCCCATCCCGCGAGGTGCCGATGGAGAGATGAGCCAAGGGGATACGAAGAGCGAAGTTGCTGGGAGGTTTGGGGGGTAGGGTCGGGGGGACGGGAGCGTGGTGGATGGAGCAGGGGAGGGGGAGAGAGGGAGCGAAGAATTGGGGGGGAGAGGACGTGAAGAGGGAGAAGGAAAGGGAGGGACCAAAGTGGGTGGATGGGGGGGAAAGGAGTGGGGGGGAGGGCGAGGAGTCGAGGGAGGGGGAGGAGTCGAGGGAGGGGGAGAGGGAGGGAAGGAGTGTGTGTGTGGGGGGGGGAGGAGACGAAAAAAGTGGTGCAGAGGCAGAGGACAAAAAAGGGTAGGGTAGAGGAGAGGAAGGGCGCCGAGGTGACCTGCGCAGGGGTACGAGAGGCGCAAGGGAGGGCGGAGCACTGCACACTGAAAACTGCGCCCCCGCAGGCCACTCGGGGCGGCCGTGCGAGGGGCGGTGAGGTGGCGCCTCGGTACGGGCACACACACACACACATTCACACACCACATACATGTATAGATCACTCGTTCCTTGAGGCGGATCCTGAGCTCCCAGCAGGCGGGCCTAAAAGGGCGCTCTAGAGAGATCAACCAGAGCCTGCATGGCTCTGCGCAGCGTGTAAAAGAATCGGTCGAGAGTTCCCTCTGACGCGAGGGGGTCGGGCTCGGGGGCGGTGCGTGCAACGCTGTAAAGATGGAAAGCACGCACCACCCGCTCCACCTCCTCAGGCGCAGGGGGGCCAGCGAGGCCAATGCGCTGAGCCAGCGACGAGGGGGGCTCCTCAGGGTGGTATACAATGCCCCACAGAGCTGGACAGCGTATGTAGTGGGCCATGTCACCCCTGCAGCCTACGCAACGAAAACGACAGCCACGAATCTCGGTACTGTGCAGACGGTAACTGGTGGGCCATCCGCCCACCAGAGTCTTCAGGACCGCGCTTTGCCACGCTGGGGGGGGGGGGGGGGGGGGGGGGGGCATCGCGGGCCAGGTCCAGAAGGGGGGCCCAGTGCAGGGCACTAAACTCTACATCCCAGGAGGCCAGGTGCTTGGCGATTGCGTCCTGGAGAAGATCGGGAAAAAGACTGGAGTGGAGAGAGGCGCAGAGGATCTTCTGGCGGCGCACGCGCACAGGCGTCTCCTGCGCAGCCTGCTCATCGACGGAGGCGAGCGCGGCGCGGGCTGCCTCAGTGCTCACGATGTCCGAAGCGCCCCTGCGCGGCACCCTCCACCTGCATGGCGATTGGTGGGGCCTTCCAGAACTGCGGGGGCAGCCGTCCGAGTCCGATGACCTCCAGCGAGCCAACCTCCTCGACAGTCTTGCGGAGGCGCGCCAGCAGCGGGCGCCACATCGTGAGCGCGGTGTCCGCCGCGCGCATCCTCGACACCATGCTGAGCACTAGCATGCTGGTGGGGCGGATCGCTGACCACGATGCGATGCCGAGGAGGCCCCTCGGCGAGATGGACTGGGGCGGGAGGTGCCAGATCTTGTGCCATGCCCACGACTCGCGCCTGAGGAGTGACGCTGGGACGGGCATGAGCTGCATGAGGTAGCTGAGGACTGAGGACTGTCAGCACCCGCGTGTTGTAAAGGACAATCGTGAGATGAACTGGGGCCCCGACACGGGCGAGTTCGCGAACTCGGTGGATCCACTTCGCGCCGACCTTCTGCCAGATGAGGTCGGGGGATGCGGCGGGGCCCATGATCACGCCGAGGTACTCCGCATAGGGCACGATGCCCATGCGTTGCCAGTCTGGCAACGAGGAGGCCAGCCATGAGCGAGTAGTCGACGCCAGCACCTCAGAGTATGTCCCAGAGAGCGGCACGACCTTGCACTTCGGGAACTTCAGGCGGCGGCCTGCCAAGACGTCGGCAGCGCGGAACACGCGCCATAGACGGGAGAGGATGCGGCAGTCCTGCACGACAACGCCCACGTCGTCCGCGCAGACCCCCAGCGCTGAGGAGGAGAAGACGGAGATGATGGACCCCATGTGCAGCACGAACGGGTTCATGGCCACTGCCCAGAGCGAGCCGCTGAGAGGGCAGCCATGCGCGATCCCCGCGAGCACATGCATGAAGTGCTGCAGGACCCCCATCGACGCCACGAACGCCGTTGGCAGCCAGCACATGCCCATGATCAGCTGGAGGATGCCACCGTCGAAGCCAGCGCTGCGCAAAGCAGCGAGCAAGACCGAGACCGAGACCGAGAGCGAGGGGAAGGCGTTCCCGAAGTCGAAGAGCACCATGAGCGGCATGGCGTTGGCAGCGTGCTCGGAGAGGCCCGCGATGCGGGCGAACGTGCCGAGCAGGGTGATGTTGTCCAGGAAGTTGCGCCCAGGCAAGAAGCCCCGCTGGGCGGCCGGCGCAAATCGCTCGATGCGGTGCTTGATCTGCGAGTTGCAACCAGCCGCGATCAGCTTCGCATCGCTGTTCTTCAGCGCGAGCGGCCGTGTAGTTGCAGGAGAGCGAACAGGCCCAGCTGTGAGGTCAGTGTCCTCCGTGCCCTTCGGGAGGAACGCCATCAGGTGGTCGTTGAAGTCCATGGGAGGGGGGAAGCCCTTCGCAATCTCGAGGCTGATGTCAGCTAGGGCCTGGAGCGGAGCAGAGCTGCCACATCTGCTCCACGCGTCGCAAGGTAGACCATCAGGGCCAGGCGCCGATGGGCGCGCGCGAACAGCGGCTCGGAGAAGGTCACGGTCATCAGGGAGACGGGCATCCTGAAGATCAGCGATGGGAGCCGAGTGCTCCCGCAGGTACCGCGCTAGCAGCTCAGGGTGGCCCTGGTGCACACGCTGAAAGATGGGGGCCCAGTGGTCTCTGAGCCCCCGAAGCACACCAGCCAGGGCGTTGACCACCCGCCCCTGACCATGCTCGTCGGGAAGGCGGAGCCCCTGAAGTTGCAGAGCACGTGAGAAGGGCGTCCACAGCGCGGCACGTCGCCTCAACGAACGGCGCATCGCGTTGATGTGGCGGAACGAGGTGCCGTCTGGTGGGAGGGCCCTGGCCCGTTGGTCGAGCCGAGCTTCACGCCGTTCGCTGTAGATCCGCTGGGCTGCAGCAAACTCCCCCTCGAAGGCGGCAGGGTCGCGCAATGAAATCAGTGGGCCGCTGCGGCGCTCGATGACCAAGTGCGAGGAGGCCAGCTTGGAAGTGGCAACGAGGTGCCCCGCCAGGCGAAGGTCGTCGCGCCAGACCGCCCTCGCGATGGAGCGGAAGATGAGCAGCTGGGCGTCGTTCTCGTCGGCCTTCGCGGTGAAGAGGCGATCTCTAACCCGCCGAGCGGCCTCCTTCATCAGGCGCTTGTGCCCCCGTCGCTGTTGGAAAGGCTGGAGCGCATCCCAGTTGACGAACTTCGACAGCAGAGCGAACTGAACGGGATACTCGGGGTCGCGGAGGACGTGCCTGGGAATAGGTTGAGCATCGCCCGCCAACGGAGGGCGAGCGGCTATCGCGATGACCAGCGGGGCGCGATCACTGAGGCCACGCTCGCGTGGATGCTCAGGGAAGTCGCGGGTCGCGGCAGCGATGTGCCACTGGATGGTGGGCCAGCTCGGAGAGGCGGTGAAGGCCCTGTCGATCTGGGTGAGCTTGGGGGTCGCGTCCTCCTGAAGGTTGAAGTGGGTGGGGAGCTCATAACCTGCCAGCGGCGTTCCTGCGGTCGCGGCGCCTGGTGGAGCGGCACCAGGCCCTTGTTGAGGAGCGGGGTGCGGGTGAGCAGCGGAGCTGCCGCGTATATGTTGAAGTCGCCGAGGAGGAGGACTGTGACCAGGCGCGGGGCTGACTTCGCGAGGGCGATGCCCCTGCGGATGCAGGCCGAGACCGCATCCATGTCCTGCGAGCTGAGGCCGAAGTTGTGGACGTTGTAGATGACAATGGAGGGGGCGGTGGTGTCAGAAGAAGGCCCCGAGATCCGAAGCCGTTGCGCCCTACCATGAGCGAGAATCTTATGAGAGAAGCGGCACGCATCAGCGACAGCGAACTGACCAGGGAGGAGAATGGCAGTGCCCCCCGCGCCCCGCCGCTCGCTGAAGTTGGCGAAGGCACGTAGAGGCAGGTGCAGGCGGTTGAGCTCCTGATTGAACTCGAGCTCCGCGCCGTGGACCTCCTGCACACACATGGCGGCCTTGAGCCTGAGCAGCGAGCCGAGGTAGTTGAACTTCCTGCCCCTCGTCTCGACGCAGTGATGCACCTATGCGCGGGCGATCCAGGGGCCGAAGGCGACGCAATGCTGGTGCTCCGATGGTGCGCGCCACGGGGCAAAACGAGTGTTAAATCGCCCAATGGTTCTTCTCGACTCCGTCAAAGATGTCATTGAAGGACCGCTTGATGCCATCTTTGTCAAGTTGAGCGTCAGTAGCAGCAAGACAGTTCCATTCCAGAATCGTCGGGTCCTCTGCGGTTGCGCCGATGACCACGCGGATGACGGGCTTGTTCCCGTCGCCGACGGCGCCTGCGTGGCGGTTCGCGCGCCGGCGCCCTTCAGCGCCAGAGCCGCGGACGAGATCGAGGAGGCGTTTCGTCTGGATCTCACGACGGATAGTCTGGGGCGACTTGTCGAGACCGACGAACACGCCGACCTCGTTGCCGTCGACGGCGGTGGCGGTGAAGCGGCGCCAGCTGCCTTCCTTGCGTAGCTTGCGGAAGGCGGCGGTGACCCGTCGCGCAGCAAGTCCGTCGGCACCGCGCATCCTGATGAGCAGCCTGCGTCCAGGCGAGGGGCCCTCGATGGACCAGTGGTTGTCCTCCAGCTCGGCGTCGGCCAGCCACGTCCTGACGGAGTCGGCCACGGCTTGGTGGGTGATGGCCTCCTTCGCCGAGACCACGAACACGGACTAGTCCACGTCGCGGGACCAG